TTTTTTTTTCCACAAAATTGGTTTTTTTGCAAAATTGGTTTTTATTTCCTTCATTTACATGTATAACTCATTGTGAGTAAAAAGGAAAAGATAAACTATAATGTCTTAGAGAAACTTGTACATCTTTAAATAGATGAGAACTTTTATTAGAATGGTCATAGTTTGAAGAGAAAATGTTGCATATGTAGTTGTTGAAAACTTCATGTTGATTTCATGTTTAAGTACAGAGAATTTTATACCCTGTTGACCAGAATCTGACCCTGAAAGTCCTGAGGACTAAAGGCTCTTCTCATGCTAAACCCATGCAAATGCCCATGTGAGAATTCATTTGCCCATCTTTATGCCTTTCAAAGTCAGCAAGATAAAAGTCTTCAAGTCAGGCTGACTTCTTAGCTTAAAACATAGGTCACTTTTTTTTTTTAACTTTCGTTATTACTGAGGTTCCCAACAAATAGTTCTTGGGGACTGTTTTTATTCATCTTTCAAGAGGAACCTTTATGTGTGTCTGAAGTTTGCTGAGATGCCTGGTGAGTAAGAAGTACAGCTTGAATTTTCCCCTTTTTCTTCCTTTCAGTACTTGATTTTCACTTTTACTCCCTCCTCACAAATTTTGGAAACGCATCATTTTCTGAAAAGCCCTACACTATCACCTCTGTAGAAGTTTCCACAGTTTTCAAGGAATAAAAACTATTGACTATAGTACAGTTCTTTTGAAACTTAAAGAGACTCAGTGATTCATAATTCTTCATATCTGTTATGATTTCTGTGAGTACCTACCACATAGTAAGTAATCTATAATTTACTTCCCACACAATGAGAGTGTTAGGGTCATTCAGGAATTCTTTTTCAAAAACTTGAAATTTAAGAAAACTGCTGAAAAGAAAACTAAGCAAAACAAAACTCCTCAGAAAATAGAAAGTGACAATCTTAAGATTCTTTGGAATTGTTCTCCCACTTAGTGGCCAGAATCTGAGTTCTATGATTTTGAGCCCCAAAGTTGCCAGAAACAAGTCCAACAACTGAGTTACGGAAGGCATCTTATGTTTTATGAAACTGTCTTCAGAAAATATTATGATTGGCAATTGTAGGCCTGGTGAAGTACTAAGCCTTCATTAGTATATAAATACAGTTTTGATGTAGTTTATTTGAAGATCAAAGACAATGGCTGGCCCAGAACACATTTTTCTATGTACTTGGATTAAAACAATATATATGTGTGTGTGTGTGTGTGTGTGTGTGTGTGTGTATGACAACGTGGCAAGAATAATTAATCCTAGTTCTAAAAGAGTACTTTTTTCTTTAAAATGGTTATATCATCAGTTTATTCTTCCACAAAGATCTGGCCCCTGTTTATTTTCCCCCTTGTGAGATTAATAATACCATAAAATACATATTTAATATGTTTTTAAAGGAACCTTTTACAATACTTAAATTATAGCTATTGTTTTATCTACTTTCTGAAAGTGGGAAATTATTGTGAATTCTCAACATAGTAGTTAAATGGTACTCTTACCAGTTGGCTTTTAAGTAGGCATAGATACTACTTCAGATTTTATGGGTATAATAATAAGCTTTGTTACAATGGAGAGGCATTGGGATTTAGCCTTGTTACACATTAAGAGAGAGTGAAAGTAGAATTCCTTTATGTATTACTCAGTTGTTAAATCCAGAAAGCGTAAGATCTGAGAGATGCATGTTATAGAGAGAAGCAAGGTCAGATACTAGATCTCCTCATTTGTAAAAATAACTATAAAATTTGCATTACTTATTAATGATCATCTCAGAAACAACTATGCAGATTGAGGTGGGAGGTGAGTATTAGTCTGTGAACAATATTATAAATTTTGGGGGGTAATTCTTTTGATGATGGAAACAAATTAGACACTACACACGGAATAATTATCAAAAGAGCAATGTTCAAATTAATGTTGCTATGATTAAATTATCGTTATGACCCAAGTGCAAATATATAATTGCCTCTGCTGTATGTGAGAAGTAGAGTATATGTGACGTACTTGATAGGTAACTGGTGCCAATTTAATAGGTTCAGAAAAGAGTTTTGTAAGTGAAGTAAGAAAGAGAAGACATAATGACCGGTAGTCATAATGAGCGAAAGTTAGAGAAGAGTGAAAATTAGACCAGTACTATTGATATAGAGCACTAATTTCAAGGAAAATGAATTGTTGAGAACTAAAATTTTATGTTCTTATTTTCAGTCTTCTAAAGTCAACCTCAACATTTAGACACTACAATTTTGGGACCATTTTGTGCATTTTCCATAATTTAAATTATTATTAAAATTATTTCCTTATTCCTTGGGACATAATATTTTTAGTTATTAGTCTTAGTGAAAGTTGACAGGAGAGGAAATCATGTTCTAATAAGTTCATTTGTTTCTGATTATTTTAATTGGATTATACAGTTTGGTGATGAAAAAAGCTAAAATTAAGGACTTTTTTCTTTTCATTTCAATTATGTGACATCTCTAGTTCCAACAAGTAAACAAAAATTAACTGATTAATAGAAGGTTTGATAATTATGTAGATGTCTATGTAAAATATTTAATTTTAATGCAGTGATGACCTCTTAGCTCATAACATACTCTTCGATGTGCAGAAATTTTGTTAAAAATTTGATGCAGTGTCAATTTTCTGAGTATTATTGAATATATATACCCAAATTGCACTTCTTAACGAAAGGGCATAGTGCTCCCAATTGTATTTTCAAATGAATTTTGTTTAGCTCTGAAGTTATACAGTTTTATTTCTGCTTAATATCCAGGTAAAACATATGTTATGCAGGTAAAACCCATGAAATAAAGTTGTTTAAGTAGCTTCAATTTTTTTGTAATTTTGACTTTATCATCTACTTTTTCATAGACTTGATAATATAGTTGTATGTTTACCAGAAACTTAAATCAGGATTAGCTCTAATATACAGGACTTTAGATTGTTTTTATTTTTATTTTTTTTCCCTAGCTACAGGTGCATGTTATAGCTTTCCATTGTGGTCATTGTGGTTCATTTCATTAAGCTTCATGTTCTATCTGCTTTCTTGAGACTTGGGAAACAGCATTTTTCTGAGTGATTGTACCATATTGTTCCAAATATAAGGCCAGCCAGAATAGAAGGCAACCTCCAACTAGAAACAGCTCAAATATGGAGAAAGGCTGGGGGCCCAGAGCCCGGCGGGTCTTGCAGTGGTGGCAAGGGTGCCGAGGAATAGGACGATGCCTGCCCACTCTCCCGGTGAGTGAAGATGAGTCAGCTGGCTGCATTTGCTTATGCATAACCAGATGGCTTCTGTTGCAAGAGAAAAAGTTGTACTGGGGGTTGGAAAACAAGTTCATATACATGAAAGAAAGTTGTATGTCTAAATCTGGGGAGGGAGGATGGGAGTAGAATTTTTCACCTCCTAAACAGTCGTCTTAAGTGTTTTTTCCCCCGACATCTGGGGGTGAAAGTTGAGCAACCCCAAACAGGAGCGAAGAACAAAGGTATCCTGGACCTTTCATGATAAAAGGAGTTTAGATCAGTGGTCTTGAAAATCACAGGTCTCCAGATCAGCTCAGAAAAGTGCTCCTTGCCCTTTAAAATTGACTGCTGACTGAGAGGTGATGCATGCACTGTGTGATCATGTATAGCTTGAAAACAAGCCACTGAAACGGGAAATCACATTTCCCTTTTCAGTAAGATTTTTCTCTTTTTAAATGCCCTGTTTGGCTCAGTAGCATATATTTTTTTAAATCATTCAGTGAAAATGTATTAGTCAACTAAGAGTATATGTAAATTGAACCTATGTAATTCTCCAAATATTGGTCTGACTCTGCTAAGTGCATAGAAAACTATTTATGTTATAGTACTAAATGAGATATAATAGAATGAGGTGCTTCATTCTGTTATTATAATCTAGAAAATTATATAATATCTGTTGGAACTAAACTTCACCAGGCATTTGGTTACCTTTGTGGCTTCACAAAACCAAAATAAAACTAAGTCTTGATCTTTCTGATTGATTTCTAGTCCATGGCCCAAAGCTAGTTTGAAGTATAACTTTCATCCCTAAATGATGAATTTCCCCCCACTGCATATTCTAGGCAAGATACTCTTGTAGCCATTTTTGTTTGTTTGTTTAAGGAAACTACTTTCTTTAAAAAAAAAAAAAAAAAAAAAAAGAAGAAGTCTACGTTTCTGAATAGATATGGCCAGAACAGGACTTAATGTTTAAGTTTAAACAATGGTAAATGGCTCAGATGATTTGATTTAAGGATATTGTTTACATTGATTTTAGAAGTTCTCTTAAACCAAAATGCCCTGAACAATAGAGGCCCATGTCCAAGCCAAAGGATGGTATTATTGATATGCTTGTCCTTTTGCCAGATCTGGAAAGAGAACCTTTGAAGCAGAAAGGCTGGGCAGAAAAGGATTTGAAAGTAAAAACAGAAAGGAGGTAGCTCAGAGTGGGAAGGTTTACTGCCTTCTGAATTAGAATACATGTCAGAGGAAATATGGCACTGCAATGGTGGATCCTAAACAAAAGTTTGAAGTGAATTCTGTAAAATCTCAGGTCTTTTGAAAAGAGGTCATAACAGTGGCACCAGGTGGAAAGGAGAAGAGTAGAGGACCAGAGTTCCTCAGGAAAGAGGAGCTTCCTTTTGTACTTCCTTAGTGTTAGAACCATTTGATTCCAAAAGATCCAAAGTACAGAGGAAGAAGATTCCAAAATGTGAGGGTGGGGGAAGGATGTGTCCCTTAACCATCTTCAACTTCAACTTCAGGTAATCTCCCTTCTGTTAGGTGTATCAGGCATTATTGTGTCTGATTTGATCACGGTTACAAATACAGGAAAACAAACTTCATTTATTTTCCCAGAGGGGCTTGGGGCTATTCTAATTGACAATCCTGTTTCATCACCTGCTGTACATTTTAGTTTTAGTAGCAATGGAGAACAGAAGCTGAGGAAGCCGACTTCATGCTGTATTCTACTGCTTCCTCTCCGTGTTGGGTAGTGAGGCTGGGGGCAGGACCTGACTGGATTGTACAACTCTGAGCAGGGAAAAGAATGTGGCCTCAGTAAGTTTGTGAGGTGACAAGGGGAGATTTTGAGGACATAGGAGAAATGACAGCAAGAAAGAAAGGGAGAAAATCTTCCAAATTGTGAAAATAATAATCTGCAATAATGTTAAGTTAATAATAATATACTTTCCTTATAAAGCATGGTTTACATGTAATCTATACCTATAGTTGCTATGTGCCGATTTCTCCTCTTATCTCTAAAATACACAGCATAAAATTACTCTTGGCTGAGCATGACTGCTCATGCCTGTAATCCCAGTACTTTGGGAGGCTGAGGCAGGAGGATCACTTGAGGCCAGGAGTTTTAAGACCAATCTGGGCAACATAATGAGACCCTGTCTCTGTGGAAAAGACAAAATGTCACTAGGCATAATGACACATGCCTATAGTCCCAGATACTCAGGAGGCTGAGGTGGGAGGATTGCTTAAGCCCAGGAGTCGAAGGCTGCAGTAAGCAATGATTGTGCCGCTGCACTCCAGCCTGGGTCATGGAGAGATTCTGCAAATTAATATTCCAAACTACTGTTGTTTCTCTCTTCATGAATTCACATGGTACACCTTCAGTGGCTCCTCTTTGAGATATTAGATTGATAGAATCAACTTGAATGGAGCAATTACTAATCAATTAGACATGAAAAAATCTGCAAATAGGTTGATAGCCAGAAATTAAAAATCTCTCAGGTTCTCTAATAGTGTAATGACCTACATAAAAATAGATTTGGAAAATTCCCATTTGACGGCTTTTTCTAGGAGAATAGATAACTGATGCTCTCTTTTTCTTTGCTGATCCATTAGTCTTCCCTCAAGTATCCTTTAGAAAAAGTACAGATCCTTAGGGAAATTTCCAGTTCTTGTACAGATGAATGTGGCCTGCACATGTCAAATTAATCATGTCCAGGTTCTTGTTTCTCACCAATTAAGTTGAAGAATCACTAAACTAAAAATACGTAATGTGTATCTATTGTGTTTTTCATTTTTAAAAAAGACCAGAAAAGGACAGTTTTCAGTTTTCAAAGAAAATGTTCGATTCGCATAAATCTTTTTGGAAAATGCTTTATTATAGGTCTTTCCCTCAAAGAAGGGTTTTGTAAAAGACACAGTTTCTCCAACACAAGAATGTGATGTGTCTACATATTCTGACACATATGGAATATGGCATTTGGTTTGCTGAGTGAGCATATTTAACTCAGCTATGGAGTAACTCATGAATTTCCTACTCTTGAGTATCTTTGAGTTTCAAAAATGATTCTTGAAATGTGTTTAAGGGCCATTCCTTGAGGGTGGGGCATTGCTCTCTTTGTAAGTCAGAAATGGCATCTGGCAATGTTGTGAGGTCGCTTTTCATTATGTTACCTTGCTAGTCAAGCAGCAAGTGTGTTATCCAATGAACAGGTTGATAGCATTGTAGGATAGGCTAAGGAAAAGTACCAAAATGGCTAATTCTCATTTGGCAGTGAAATTGAATATTGAATGACATCTTTGTAGTCATAAACGACTTTTGTTTTAATAACAAAGTTGTTGATTTTCTACTAAGGGTTCTTTTAGGTTGTCATCAGGGGCTGATGGGAGTAACAGTTCACCCAACTCCGCAGCTAGCTTCAGTGGACATGCCACACCTTCCCAGCAGCCTGAACCTGTGGTACATTCTCTTAAGGTAACCAACTGTGTGCAACCATTCTCCAGAGCTTCAGTTGTGTTGTGGCTTGTTTGCTGTAGTCTAGTAGTCCTCACAGTCTTGCTTGAACCATAGATACTTTATTTTTTGACTCCTTATGGTGTAACTTTTTAAATCTTAACTTTTGAAGTATGATTTTAATTGCTCTAAACTGACAGTGAGTTTGAGTACTTATTATGGTTGAATCTCTAGTTTTATCATTTTGTTTTGAGTAATGTGATTCATATCTATCTGCATCGAAGTTGAAGTCTGTGCATGTATATCCATATTTGTAAAAAATTGTGATAGGTATTTTATGTGCAATGTTTGTAGCATGGATGTCTTCAAATATAGGGAGTTAATAGTTGGCCAAAATATGGAAGGATACCACATTATTCTTTTTGGATGCAATTGAAGTACATTATACAACTTAAATAAAATATTAAAATAAGTAAAAACCTACTCTTTCCTCTTCTAAGTAGAAATTGGGTTCTCAAACTCCAGTTAATGTTCCATTATAGAAGAGTAGAAAATAGATATATGGACTTATACATAAAGCTAATTTACTTCTGTGTCTTTCTTCACATTTTGCAGTGATTTCACAAAAATTTGCCTAAAATTTGTCATATATTTTCTTTACCAATAATGAGCTTTCCAATAAGTAAAATTAATGAAAAATTCGTATAAGTACAATTAATAATACATAAACAATATAAATGCCTATCTCAGAGAAGAAACTATCACAGGCAATACAAATCATTTTAAAAATTGAGACAGTTCCTTGAAATTTTATCAGTTCCAAAGTATGAAACACTGTCTAGCAAATCTATCTATAATTTCTAATATGTAGCTTTGGTCAAAACTCTCTGACCCATAAAACAGGTAGAGTGCTTCAGTTCTGCTTTTACCACGTGAGTTTCACAACTCTTCTTAAACTGTTTCAGTTTCGAAATGATTTGTCATCAGACTGAGATGCACTCCTCTTTTGGAATGGGCCGTACTTTCTGTGGCATGTACAAAACAAATACACAGACAAGCACTTCAAAGTGTTTATTTCATTTTGAGATATTTAAGTTTTAGCAAAGATTTTGCTCCCTTAGTATATTTTGCTTTAGCTTATATAAAATGAGTTTGCTTTTCCTAAACATATACTGATTATTGATGAGGGAAGGTAAGGCAACCATGTGAACGGCCAGTGGCAATGCACTTGGCATTTTGTCTATGTTGGGATAATTCACAAAGTGAGCAACTGAGAGGAATTCCTGGGAAGACACAGCCAGCGTGAGGGGCACTGCTTTGCCTCTGATGGATGTTGGTTTATGGATGATTGAATATGTTGTTCTCTGTGGCAGCACTTGGATGAACTTTAGCATGAATCAGGCACTAGCTATCTGAAAAGCATTTTATAAGTAGAAAATGGAACAGAGATTGGCTTCAATCTTGTAGTATTAAAGCCTGTGCACACACTCTGAAAGCAGCAACTTGTCCTCCTATTCAAACTGTTTGAAAGCCATTCCAGCCTATTGCCTTATTAAATGGCAGTTGCTATTTGAATCAGATTAACATAGTGGGTTACGCTGAAATTTTTTCCAGATTTCTCAATGCAGCTGTTAGTGTGGCTTAAAAAGAAGGGGAGGACAAGGAAGAGCGCCTTAGTTTTCTCTGAATTTAGTTCTAATTTTCATATAAAATGTTATCTCTGGGAGGCCAAGGTAGGCAGATCATGAGGTCAGGAGTTCGAGACCAGCCTGGCCAACATAGTGAAACCCCATCTCTACTAAAAATACTAAAAATTAGCTGGGCATGGCAGGTGCCTGTAATCCCAGCTCTGCGGAGGCTGAGACAGGAGAATTGCTTGAACCCAGGAAGCAGAGGTTGCAGTGAGCCAAGATTGCACCATTGCACTCCAGCCTGGGTGACAGTGCGAGACTCCATCTCATAAACAAATAAATAAATAAATAAATGTATCTCCAGAGAGGGAGATATTATGTTATATTCAGTACACATAAGTGTCCTTGGTTGGCACATGAGTGATACTGAGCAACTGAAACATCTTTATTGGATAACTGGGGGCCCTTAAATATAAAATGTGTTTGTTTCCAGGAGTTAACTGTGTTAAGACACAGAAATATGTGCAAACATCATTTTTGGAAAATGCATCTTAAAAAGATTTCAATATAAGTAAAAGAAATTATGGTCACTTGACATGTTTTGTTTTTGAGAGATACTTATTTGGAGCTGATTTTTATCATGAGATATGTCTATCCTGGAAAGAATAATTAGTACAGTGGCTCAGTTTCTCACTTTCTGATAGATTTTATAGAAAACTCTAGGCTTCAGAAAATCTCCGGTCATGGTTTGTGGGGAAATGTAAATCACTGTAAGAAATTAGCATATTTGTAATAACACTATATTTCTCCTCTTTTGAAATTTATGATAACTATTAATTGGAGCTTCACTTCATTTAGTAAAAATTAACTGATTTGAAGTATGCTTCTCTGAGGTGCATTACAAATCAGATTCATAGGTAAATGAGCCTGCTCAAGGAGCACTTTATGTTTTCTATGAATATTCACCAAGCACAGTCAGTGATTTTCTCTAAATATGTAAAGAAGGTAAATTAACTATAATGTGAGGTGAGTATCAGGACTCAGAAGAGGTATTTATATAGTAATAATTGCTAGAAGTTTCAAATTAATGAAAGTCATTTGTGATCAGATTATTACAGGATTGAACTCTAGTTAGACTCAGATAGTGTCTGTGAACTTGACATGAAGGTCCTACTTCATGCTTAAGTCATTTAGTTTGGCTCAATTGTTGTAAATTCTCAGGTAGCACCTTTAGATGTGACCAACATTGACCATGATGATGATAGAATCAAGTAGCTTAGCAGGGTTGCAGTTAGTGTGGATTCTATCGGAACTTCTAGGAAAAGCATTAGTTTATTGTGTTACTTCAACACTTTGATTTATAAACTGATATAGATAAAAACAGCAAACAGCACAGAAAGCCAAAGTTTTTTTCTCTTTTTTTACTGTAAAATGTAGCCACAAGAAAATTTTAGACATTCTTAAAGGAATATTATTTTTAACCTATTTTGGGCTAATTTAGAGAAGTGGAAACATAAACTTCTAAAATTGTTTAAAAGGCATTTTATTCCAAGACATTTTGCTTTCATGAAAGATATTTAAAGTGTTGTTCAAATATTTTCACTATAAGGAGCCAGTGCTTCTCTTTGATGCTGTCAAAGAGCCACCTCCACATGCCTTTTCTCAGGTACTGGGAACATGTCCAAGCAAGAACTGCGAGGTCAGTAGTTCTTATGTGCATATTCCTGGGTTTTGACCAGTTTCACCTGTCACTATCATCTTTTTTAGTCATCTTTTATACAGGCCATGTCTACATATCATTTGGACCATTTGGCACATAGTTAATTATATTGGCCAACATTACATGGAGCAAGAGTTACTGATATCTCCAAATGGCTGACACAGTGAGGTTATCTTAATGACTAAAGTAAATGCATATACTTATTTTAGACATTAATGAATTCCATTGATTATGAGTGATGCAATGGATTGCTTTTAATGGCCGTTTTAAAATCAAATAGAATTCATTCCAAATAGATTTCAGAACAATCAGCTATTTAAAAAATATTTTGCCATATACTAATCTACTCTGATATGCAGACATGGAGAAAACTAAAGATTTTACAAAGTGGAGCTCCTTGATGGTTTTATCATAACTAACAAGCTATTTTTCCATGTGAAATTTGCTTTTCTTTTTTCAACAAATCCAGGTCTTGGATGTTCAGGAAACTATAGATCGTCAGCAGGGTAAAGAGTATGAACATGACCTTAGTGAGACAGAAAAAGCTATAGTCAGAGAAATGTGCAATGTAAGTTTAATGTGCTTTATTGTGTATTCTGTGTTGAAAGCCACATCGTAGCTTAGCTGTTGTTTTATGAATATTTTTTAAATGCTGACCAAATGCCTTTACATTTTTATATGAAAAACCAATTTCTCTTGTTTTTGTATTCAGTATATTTTATTGTAGTTTTATTAACACAATCATGTTACAAAATATTCAATTCAGAGATGACCAGCCAATCCTGTATTCCAGAAGAATCTACGAACATTTCTAAATATTAAATTTACTAAAATGTGTTTTAATTTTGATAAAATAAATGAGTTTCTTTTTTTCTACTTCTAAGAAGTTCATTAAAGATCAGTGTTTAAAAACCTATGATAAAGAAAATACAGCCACCTTCAGATTTACTTGTAACTATTATTGGAAAAAATCACCACCTTACTAGGTAATTTTGCTTAGTTCTTCATATATCTTATATGTGTGCTTCATGTCATGCAAAGTATTATCTTTAGCTTTCAGTTGTTGACCCAAACTCATAATCTGGTAAGTTAAGATTAGATAGATGAGAACCTAAAAGATAGTTAGGCTAGGCACAGTGGTGCACATCTATAATCCCAGCACTTTGGGAAGCTGAAGAGGGAAAATTGCTTTTGCCCAGGAGTTTGAGGCTGCAATGAGCAATGATCCACTCCAGCAATGACCACTCCACTCCAGCCTGGGTTCAGAGTGAGACCCTGTCTCAGATTAA